TATGTAAGCATGCACATATGTAAGCAAGCACATATGTAAGCAAGCACATATGTAAACATGCACATATGTAAACATGCACATATGTAAACATACACATATGTAAACATACACATATGTAAACATGCACATATGTAAACATGCACATATGTAAGCAAGCACATATGTAAGCAAGCACGTATGTAAACATGCACGTATGTAAACATGCACGTATGTAAACATGCACGTATGTAAACATACACGTATGTAAACATGCACATATGTAAGCATGCACATATGTAAACATGCACATATGTAAACATGCACATATGTAATCATGCACGTATGTAATCATGCACATATGTAAACATGCACATATGTAAACATGCACATATGTAAACATGCACGTATGTAAACATGCACGTATGTAAACATGCACGTATGTAATCATGCACATATGTAAACATGCACATATGTAAACATGCATATATGTAAACATGCACGTATGTAAATATACACGTATGTAAACATGCACATATGTAAACATGCACATATGTAAACATGCATATATGTAAACATGCACGTATGTAAACATGCACGTATGTAAACATGCACGTATGTAAACATGCACATATGTAAACATGCACATATGTAAACATGCACGTATGTAAATATACACGTATGTAAATATATGAACCAGCCTTTGCGTTTCATTATTCATGAAGAGCAGAGCATATTATCCAGGCACCATTTGTCAAAAGTTACAATGTGTTCCACTGCGACTTGTGCGCTCAAATTATCTTCATTTTAAAATGTAAAAAGCTTCATTTTTTTATTCCTCTGCTAAAATGATTCACACAGAAGTATTCTGAAATGTGTCAAGTCAGTTTCTGGGAATTCAACAGCAAGCTGGCTTTAAACACATGGAGGTGCTATTTATAGGACAGATGTGGGTTGGCAGGCCTCAGACGGACAAAGTCTTTCATGTGACGGACGAGACGTTTCTCCCAAAGACAAACTGTCCACATGACATGACTGAACCTTGTTGGTACAGAAGTCATTGATTTGACCCAATCCGTTTTAGAACGGTTGTCTGGCTTAGTGAAAAAGAAACAAACGGACACAGTAGACTTGTCTGTACCTGCAGTTTACAGCTGGATGGAGATGCAGCTGAGCCACACCACGTTTCTTTTTAGCTAGCTAGCATTGCGTGCAACTACTTAGCGTTACACCAGTACCGACAGGTGGGGGGGGGGGGAGGGTGCGCATTTCGGTTTGGCGCTCTCGGTTCTGTTAAGGGGGCGGGGCGCCCTGACGTATTACGTCATGAAATTAGCATATCATAATATTAATTTTCCCAGGCAAACTATTTTTTCCCTGCGTCATCGTGAACAATATGATATGGCCCTGCCCTAATTGGCGATAGCCAAAATTTCCATATGGGTCTGGCTCTGATAAAAATATCTTGAGAAAGAAAAAAGTTTCTTTACAGGAGGTGCAGAACAAGTTAGAAGAAGATGCGCCTTTTGTTAAAAAGACCATCTCATTCAGTGTCTTACCGAAGCGTGGCAACGTGCTTCTTCTTCTTGTAGTTGGTGAGGATCTCCCAGCTGGCGCTTCCGAGGGACAGAGGGTCCTCCCCATGATACGTCCCCCCGTGCCCAAAACCTTTAGCATCCTTATAGACGGAGAGCTGCCCGGCCTTCAGAACACAGTACAAGTTGTTCCAGGACCTGAGAGGCAGAACAAGGGAAGAACTGTTGCAGTGATTCTACGCTACACTTACATTCAACCATTAGGGTGTCATGGAAATAATAAAATCTATGGTTTGTTTAAGACAAGGATTATTTACTTCTACTAAAACATGAGGTTAAAGAGCTTTTTCTTTGGCTTGTGTTCTGTATTAACGACTTCCTGTGGGCAGCAGCATCAGTGATGTTGTACAGAGTCCATCGCTACTTCACGCTTCCACTTTTAAGGACTTCTGCGGTTTTTCAAAGTAGAGTCAGAGTCAGAGTTTCTTTATTGTCATTCGCACCTCATGTGGTACATGTGGTGGAGCGAAATTATGTACACAGGGTCCCAGTTACATCCAACAATAAAATGTATAAGAAAAACAGTAACATCTAAGATATGAACTAAGAAAAACATCAACTAAATATACACTAAGCACTCATAACATAAAACATTGAACATCAGCACAAACATGAACATGAGTCTGTGAGCAGATGTGCACGCATGAACACATCAACATTGAAACAGATCAGCAGCAACATGAAACAGATCAGCAGCAACATGAAACAGATCAGCAGCAACATGATATGGTTTTTCACAGTGATTATTCTAGTTAGAGATTTATGAGTCTAACAGCCTCAGGGTAGAAGCTGTTCCTCAGTCTAGTGGTTCTACACTTAATGCTCCTCAACCTCCTTCCTGAGGGGAGTGGGGCAAAAAGTGTGTGTGCTGGGTGAGTGGGGTCCTTCATGATGCAGGTGGCCCTCTTCCTGCATCTGGAGGTGTAGATGTCTGTGATGGTGGGGAGGCTGATTCCGACAGATTTCTGTGCAGCCTTCACCACTCTCTGCAAAGCTTTTCTTTCTGCAGCTGTGCAGCCTCCATGCCACACATTGATGCTGGAGCACAGGATGCTCTCCACTGCACACCTGTAGAAGGAGGTGAGGACTGAGCTTCCCAGACCAGCTCGCCTCAGCCGTCTGAGGAAGTAGAGTCTCTGATGAGCTTTCTTGATCAGGCTGGTGGTGTTGTTGCTCCAGCTGAGGTTGTCATTCATGTGTACACCTAAGTACTTG